TACATCATTTTGTACATTTTTTTTTCCATCTCAATTGTAATCCCCGCAGGTTTCCCATCACCAAGTCACCCGTGTGCCATCACCATAATCCCATGTACTTCCCTCCCCCCCCCCCCACCCCCGTTTTTGATCCCATTCCCCACTCGCCACTGACTTGTTTTAAAAAACATAACGTTAGAAAATCATGTCTCAGTTTCCTGGTAAAACCAATGTAATGTGTCTAACTTAATGTGTGCTATCTGCATGTAAAAATTTTTTAGAGGGCCCTCCCTGGTGGCACAGTGGGTTGGGATGAAGCACTGCAAGTTGGCCACAGCCACTTCAGTATGAGTTCTATTCCAGGCCCTGGAGGTGACCACATGGCTCAACAGACCTTTCCTGTCTCGCCTGCTGTTGCCCTCAGCAGCCTACTTTGTTGATCTGTATATTCTGCTCTCCACTTTGGTGGTGAATCCTTTAACTGTCTCGTCTGTACGCCAGCTCTGTATGCATAAATAAATAAATCTTTTAAAAATATTTTTTTAGATTTATGAATCTTAGTAATCTTTCGAATTCTGTATATCCTGAATACTCATTATCAGATGACTTTCATGTTTAGTTAGGTATTGGTACTGTTAAATCCTAATTAATAGAATATATATAGAAAGATTTCTTCCCTTTTTAAAAAGATTTATTTCTTTATGCATACAAGAACTGGGGTATAGGTCAGAGGTGTTGGGGGTGAAAGGATTCACCAGAAACAGAGTGGGGAGCAGAACAAGCAGATCTCCTGAAATACTCTGAGGGGAGCAGCAGGTGAGACAGGAGAAGCCTGCTGCACCATGTGGGTTGCCTTCCTGGCTGGGGATTGAACTCATGCTGCAATGGCTGCAGATAGCTTCATAGTGTTATCCACTATGAAGAGACTTAACCCCATGTGCCACTAGGTGCAAATGCAGTTTTAGATAGTCACCCAGGGTATTGGGTACTATGATTGAAATCAGAAATTGAAATGTTATTGATGATGGGATAGTTTTTCTCTTAACTTCATAGCACTGTTATGTTCTCTTAGTACTTTATAGACTCTGAAACTTCTCTTCTGGGATACAGTAGTCTTATTCATTTTAAGACATCTAATTAGTATGGGTTCTGAGGATAACCTTGGATTTTCAGAGTTATTTATACTAGGAGGCCTAGGCATGTAATATACTTGATTGTGGAGGATTGTGATGAGCTCATATTCCCTATTTAGGGATGTTGTTACCATATCTTCTATTTTTCTATAGAACCTGGAAATCTGTATCTTTAGATGAAATATAGATCTGTTGTAAATGGTGAATCCTGCTCTTTGCTAAGCTCTTTACCCCTAATTAATCAAGGATAATTCCTTTAGGAATTATCATAGTATAGTTAATTTGTTATTCAAAAGAACAGGGTCTTCCCTCAAACTTCCTTTCTAGAACTACCTTTGGGACTATGCAGCTGTACTTCCACTGGAAAGCAGACCCAGGTTTTAATCTAATTTTAAGAGCTAAACAGGTATTGAGCATAGTTACTGTTTATGCATTGTTTATATGCTATTTGTACATTGAATTGGCTATAAGACAGTATTTTGCCAATGAGTGTAAAGCAGCATGTTCTATACAACTACATGACTTGTAGTTTCCTCTATATTGAGATTTTACTGAAGCACTTTTCTTGAAGGAAGTCATTTTTGGCCACAGATGATTTCTTTAAAAAGATTTATTTATATATACATATAAGAACTGGGGTACAGGCCAGAAGTGCCCAGCGTGTGGGGGGTGGTGATAGGATTAACCAGAGACAGAAGTGGGAGCATAACAGGCAGATATAATGAAATATACTGTTGAGGGGAGCAGTGGTGAGACAGGAGAGTCTGCTGTACCATGTGGTACCATGTGAATCAGCTCCCTGACCAGAGATTGAACTCATGCTGTGGTGGTTGCAGATAGCTTGATAGCATTGTCTTTAATCCCAGTGCCACCAGAGAGGCCCTGGCTGCAGATGATTTAAAACTGAAGAAATTACTTATTTTGAAATTTTTTACTTAAGCCTCCTCCATTAATCAATATTTCTTTGTTTTAGGCATATAGTTGGAAAAAGAGGGGACACTAGGAAGAAACTAGAAATGGAGACCAAAACTTCAATTAGCATCCCTAAGCCTGGACAAGAAGGAGAAATTGGTGAGATTCAGTATGTGTATTTGTTATATAGACTGTGGTCATTTATATATATGTAGGGAATAATGTAACCCAACTGAGATGATTGGTGACTCTATTCTTACAGGGTTCTATAATGTCAGTCTTTTTATGATGTATCAGTATTAGTTTCCCAAATGAGGAGAGATGCATTTATATAGCCTTATCTTGATTGAGTACCTACTTGGGCCTTCATTTTATACTTTACCACTCACTGATGGAATAAAGCTTCTAGATTTCATTATGTATTAGGAGGTTTCTGCTTCAGTAGCTTGAAATGAAATTTTGAATCATTTCAAGTTAGAATTTGAGAAAACCAATGAGATCAGCAAATTTGAAATAAAGTATAGCTCTTTTTATAAGTTTTATTTTAAGTTTCTACCTTGCCTTGTAGAATGAAAAGGGAATTATATGAGTAATGATTAAAATAACTACCTGATTCAACAATTACTCAGGTGAAGAAAAACAGTTTGATAATGTAAATCAAGTCACAAAATTCCTGTACCACAAAATATCACTGAACCAAAGTCACAGGCTTGTGTTGTAAAATGACTTCAAGTAAAGGGGCGCTATGGGGAGAATTTTTTTTTTACTTACTCTAAAAATATATGACTTCTTCAAAGTCACATAAGTCTAATAGCCTCTAGTAGTCTATACTTTACAAAGTTGATACATGCTTTCCTAAAAATGGAAACTTAAATAAATTATAAGGCATAAAGGGAGATAGATATCTTGTAATATGAACCCTGAAGGTAATTACTATTAACAGTCAAATATGTTACCCATTTTTTTCTGTCCATATAGTAACGTATAGTAGTGATATTTATAGCATGGTATAAATGTGGAGACCTTAATCATTTAAAGATACTGGAGCCATTCTAAAACTTATCCAGAAAAGGGTAGGCAGGTTGTAAAAGTTCTATTTTGACATAGCACAGTGTTTTTGTGCTAATTGGTAGAACTAATTTAATTGAAAATGAAGATAAACTGGTTTGTTGGTTATAGGGACATGAATGTATTGAAAAGTCATATTTATTGATTAGAATAAATTGTGATATAAAATCAAGATTGCAGTAGGGGAGGAGGCCCATTGGACTGTGGTGTATTATTGAGGTTTCGGTGGTGAACGTGGTTTGATAACATGTATTTGTAAAGGTGTGACTCTACATCCCTAAAACATATACAGTGTTGTGAGCCAACATTACCTCAATAATAATAATTTTATAGAAAAAAGAACTTGTTACATAAAAATGATATGTAATGTTCAAATATATACTCTACAGTGAAATTAGACATCACCTATTTTTAAGGAATAAAGCAATTGTAAACACTCAAAAATTGCAGTTATATTGATATGGCATTTGCTGTCTTTATTCTTTACTGGAGTGTACCCAGAGGTGCAGGCAGGTGAGAGGATTCACCAGATATAGAGTGGAGAGAAGAACAGGTTGATTTACTGAAATATGAAATACACTCCTGAGGGCAGGAGCAGGCAAGACCGGAGAGATTTGCTATGTGCGCAAACTCATGCTGTAGTGACTAGTAATAGTTGGATAGCCCTGAGACTTCAACCTTTGTACCACCAAGGAGGCCCCAGTATGTAGTAGGTTTTAATTTGTCCGCTAGATAAGGGTCTGGTTAGTCTGTTTTGATGTCTTAGGCGATGGGATATTGTCTTTAAAAATGGTATTGGGGGCTCTCCCTGGTGACACAGTGGGTTAAAGCACAGCACTAAGAAGCTAAAGCCACTTCAGCATGAGTTCAATCCCTGCCCTGGAGGTGACCACATGATGTGGCAGTTCTCTCCTGACCCTCCCGCTGCTCCCCTCAGAAGTGTACTTCATCCATCTGCCTGCTCTGCTCCCACTCTGTCTCTGGTGAATCCTCTTACCGCCCCTGCACCTCTGGCCTGTCCCCCAGCTCTCTATGCATAAATAAATAAATCTTAAAAAAAAAAGTATTGGATAGGCTTTCATAATTTAAATTAGTGCCTTTACGGGTTTTCTTCCTATGTATTCTTTGTGTAGTTCTTAGATTCACGCAGGTAAGCTGATTCCCTCTGATTTTTATAGCTGTAGGCTATTTTTAAAGAAGATTTATTTATTTGTGCATACAAGAACTGGGGTATAGTTTAGAGGTGTGGGGGTAAGAGGATTCACCAGAGAAGAGTGGGGAGCAGAACAGGCAGATTGACTAAAAAACACTGCTGAGGGGAGCAGTGGGTGAGACAGGAGAGGTCTGGCACACCATGTGGATCGAACTGGTGCTGAAGTGGCTGCTGCTAGCTTCACTTTAACCCGATGTGCTACCAGGGAGGGTCCGTAACTTGGAAATTTTTCTGGAAGACAGTCTGTCTGGGTACCTATCAAGTTCCCCTTTTAGTTTTTCTGTATTACAAAAATGAAAACATGTTAATTTTATTCTCTACCTAGCCTCTCCCCCAGAGTTAACATTATATATCAAACATTTACAGAAATGAGACATAAATGTGTGTTTTAAGTTTCCTTTTGTTCCTTTTCCTTTTGTTTCTCACTATAATTTTGGTCTGTGGAGGAGATAATTATAACTTCTACTTTCCTTTAGTGTCTCAATTTACCTTTGAATGTCCCTTAATCCGTATTTCTCTTACACAGTATTTGAGTACCTGTTATGACTACTTCTCTTAGTTGGGAATTTGAGTCCTGTGTATTCTCAGAATATTTTCTCTCATAGTAAAAAAAATGTCATTATAAAACACCCTATATATTTTTTGGTTGTAACCTCATTTTTTCCCCCAGACAAACAGTTCTCATACTTCCTATACATCCCTTCTTTCTTAGTGTACTTCTTTTCTTAGAAACTTCTATCTTGTTTTTCTAGAAACAATTCTATTTCTTAAGAAATAGAAAGAATGTCTTTTGCAGCAAAATGGATGGAGCTGGAAGGGATCATGCTTAGTGAAATAAGCCAGAAAGAAAAGAAAAATACTAGGTGGTTTCATTAATAGCGGAAGAATAAGGGACTGGCTCTGGGGGGTAGGAGGGAAGCAATTGTAATCAAGAAAACATGAAAAACAACGAATAAAAAGGTACACAGGGCTATGGTGAATTGGTGGTTGGAAGTCCATGGGGATTGCAATTGCAATGGAAAAAGGTACGAAATGAAGAATGTAAAATAAATTAAAAAAAAAAAGACACAGAAAGGAGGGCTTCACTGACCTAGGGGTTAAGTCTCCATGCTGTTACCACTATCACCATGACTGCCTACATCCCTGGCCACCTCTCCAGGGCCCACCTTACCTGCCCACCACAATGGCCTGAGCTTGATCCTTGGCCAGGGAGCTGACCCACATATGGCACAGCAAACCTCTCCTCTCCTGTTTTGCCTGCTGGTTCCCTTAGTGTATTTTAGTAATCTGCCTGTTCTGCTTCCTACTCTTTCTCTGGTGAATCCTCATACCTGCTTCTCAGTTCTTCTACACACAAAAAATTTAAAAACATCCTGGATCAACAAGTACACCTAAAGGTGGAAATTTGAAGCCCTCCTTAGTGGTGCCGTAGGTTAATGCACAGCATTATGAAGCTGTCTGCAGCTACTGAAGCACCAATTCAATCCCCTGCAGGGAGGTGACCCACATGGCACGGCAGACCTCTCCTGTCTCACCTGCTGCTCCCCTCAGCAGTGTTATTTCAGTAGATCTGCCTGTTCTGCTTTCTACTCTGTCCCCGGTGAGTCCTCTGACCCCATACACCTTTGACCTGTACCCCAGTTCTTGTGTGCATAAATAAATAAATCTTTTTTAAAAATAATAAAGATGGAAATTTGATATCCATGATACATTATACAGGTAGGGTGAATGTTTTTACTTTTAAGTTTCCACTTTCAGATGTAGAAAATATTATTGCTTTGTAACTTGTTAACTCCTCTATATAAAACTCCTGTTTTGTTTGTTTTTGCTTTCAGTGATCACTGGCCAGCATCGAAGTGGTGTAATTTCAGCCCGAACTCGAATTGATGTTCTTTTGCTCACTTTTAGAAGAAAGCAGCCTTCCACTCACTTCCTTTCCTTTTTTCTCAATGAAGCTGAAGTTCAGGAGCGATTCCTTAAGTTCCAAGAGGAAGTACTGGAGAAGTGCTCCATGGTGAGTAGCAAATAATAGAAAACAAAAAGTAGAAAAGAGAAAGTAAGAGTATAAAAATGACTGAAAATTCACATAGTAGAAAAATACAAATCTTTTTCCATCAAAAAAGTAGCCATTTTTAATGGTTTCTTTTAATTTTATACTGGGAAAAATAGTATAGACATACCAGTACATAAATCTATATGTTATAGAAATAACAAAAGAGTCAGTCTAATGTACACACTGTTCTACTCCTGTGGGTGGCAGTGTTAATGAGAGCCATTATCTGGAGAGCTTCTGCCTCTGGGCAGTCATGGTTCATTTGGGGTTAGTAACTAAAAGACAAATTTGTATATAGAATATAAAATTGTATGTAACAGTGTAATGTTTGTGATCACTATAGTAACAGATAATCTAGATTAAAAAACAAATTTAAAACTCCTTTTGCAAATAATTTTACATGATTTAAAGGAATACTTAATTGACAAATAGAAAATTTACAGAAGTATTATGTTTACTGTAGAAAATTTAGGAAATATTAATAAAAATCATCTATAATCTCACAATTGAGATTTAACTATGATGGCATATTTTTAGAAGAATTATATATAGATATACAAGTGTGTACGCACATACCTTTAATAATAAAGGTTAAGGGCCTCCCTGGTGATGTAGAAGTTAAGTATCACATCACCACTAAGGCTTGAGTTCAATCTACTGTCAAGGGACTAACCCACATATGGTGCAGCAGACCTTTCGTGTCTCACCCACTGCAGTGTATTTTAGTAAATCCACCTGTTCTGCTTCCTACTCTGTCTCTGGTGAATCCTCTTACCCTAACCCCTTCTGGCCTGCATCCTAGTTCTCGTGTGAATGAGTGAATCTTAAAAACAAAACAAAACAAACAAAAGACAAAAATAGTTAACTGTGGCCCTCCCTGGTGGTGTAGCGAGTGAAAGCACAGCACTACAAGTGAGCTGCAGCTACTTTTGTGCAAGTTTGATCCCAGCCCCGGAGCTGACCCACATGGCGCAGCAGACGTCTCCTGCCTCGCCTCCTGCTCCCCTCATCAGTGTACTTTGTCAGTCTGCCTATTCTGCTCCACATTCTGTCTCTGGTGAATCCTCTCACCAACCCCTGTGCTTCTGGCCTGTACCCCAGTTCTGTATGAATAAATAAATAAATCTTTAAAAAAAAAATTAACTGATAAGATTCTATATACTGCTTTTTTAAAAAAACTTAGAATATACCATAAACACTGTTTTGTGTTGAAGAAAATTAATCTTTGTTGATGAGGAAGGAAATTACAATTGTGTGTGTGTGTGTGTATATATATATATATAAAATAATGCAATCTGATTTCAGTAATTGTTCAGATGACTTGATTTTTTTTTTAAAGATTTATTTATTTATTCATACAGAACTGGGGTACAGGCCAGAAATACGGAGGGTGAGAGGATTTACCACGGACAGAGTAAGGAGCAGAACAGGCAGATCGACGAAGTACACTGCTGAGGGGAGCAGCAGGCGGGTCAGGAGAGGTCTGCC